GGGGGGGGGAGCGCGAGTCGCCAGTGATTGGTTCTCCTTGATGTACTGGCACCAACACCCCAACGCACACACATCCCCCCCCTTCCTCTCCTTACACTACACCACCACCTCTTTAATCAAGGTCAGTGGCCCCAAACTCCCTGTTTGGCTCACTCTAGAGGATGTCTAATGGATTGATTCCATGCTTCCCTGGACTGATAGAATAGCAGTTCAGTGCTTACTAGAAGAGAAAGAGTTAATGCTTTTCTTTTTATTTATGTGTTCCCTTCCCCCCACCCCATACTCACACCCCGGCATTCTTTTTGAGGATGCTGAGGTATCTTATATAAGTACCTCTTTCCCTCAGTCTTAAGCTACTAGACCAAATGCCATCCTCTCTAAGCACGGATTTCCCTCCATCCCAACTACCTAGAACGAATAGTTGTCCTATTAGGTGCTGTATGATGTTGAAGCGGTAAGGGAAATTCAATATGGCAAACATTTGGGCTCTGAAATAAAAGAGAATTAGGCACCTTGTTTAAACAGTTTTATTTAGAGGTCTGCTCCTAAAGATAAACTAGAGTCAAGGTTATCCCCTGGGGATTCCTGTCACATCTCCCAATGGAATGTAAACTCCATGACTCTTTGTCCTGCTTTTGCATTCCCAGACCCAAGGAGAGGCACTAAATAAATGCTTGTTGAGTTCAATTGAATTGAATGCCCACAGAATCTATTTGTCTTCCTAGTCTGGGCTGCCAAAAGCAGACTCTAATTTTGCTGACTCAGCATTTGGAGATTGCAGTCCTAAAAGAACCTGAGTCTAGAAAAGGATGAGGTGATCCAGAAGAGCTATCATGGCTCCAACAAAAACATTTCATACCAGACAAATATAATTTCCTTTTTTCTACTGGGTTACTGGCCTGCTGGGTTGGAGGAATACTATAAAAGTAGAATTTATTTAAGTTTTATTAAGCATTTGAAAAACTCTCCCATGCTATTCTTGTGAATAAGATGAAGAGGTTATGGTCTAGAAAATAGCAGGTAGATTCAGAACTACTTGAATAGCTAGATTAGGAGAGTATTCACTCTAACGGTTTTCTGTCAACTTGGGAAGAAGTCACTAAGAGGAATGACCCAGGGAACCTGACCTTGACCCTGTGCTATTTAACATTTTAATCACTGATTTGGATAAAGTCTTAGATTATATGCTCATCAAATTTGTATATGGCACAAAGCTTGGAGGGATAATATACTAATGAGAGGGAGGAGGCAGAATTCCCAAAAGATCATGTCAGGTTTACAAATTTCAGCCAAAATTTAAAAAATGAAATTAAATAGGGGAAATGTAAAGTCTTATATTCAGTTATAAAAATCAAGTTAAAAATGAAGGTGACAGGTATGGCTAGATAGCAATTTGTGGGGAAAATATAGAGGGGAGGGGTTTAGGGGACTCTAAGATGAGAAAGATTAAGCAGTATGACATGGCTGCCAGTGAAGATAACCCAATTTTTGGCTTCATGAAGAAAGTCATAGTGATCAAGACTGAATTATGTTCTAAGAAGATCTCATCAGGAATATCTTATTTAGTTCTGAGTGCCACATTTTAGGAAGACTTTTAGTAAACTGGACAGCATCTAGTAGAGGGTAACTAGAATGCTAAAATTAATGTCATATGAGGATCAGTTGGAGGAAGTCATGATTACTTAGCCTGGATGCAAGAAGACTTGGGTGAGAGCTGTTTTCAAGTATTCTAGAAGCTGACACATGGAAGAAGGATTAGATTTCTTCTGGTTGGCCCCAGAGGGCAGAACTAAAAGCAGCAGGTGGAAGTTGCAGAAACAGATTTCATATTGATTTAAGGAAAAGCTTCCTAGTGATTAGATCTCTCCAAAAGTAGAAAGGGCTACTTTGGAAAGCAATAGGTTCCTTCTGGCTGAAGGTATTCAAGCAAAGCCTGGACAACCACTTGTCAGACATGTTGGGGAGGGGATTCTGAGTTGGACTAAGTGTTCCTTCCAACTCTGAGATTCTATTGATCTGTGACTCTGTGACTAGACTAGGTCCTTTTTTCTCAGGTTACAGGTCTTGTTGGGTGTCACATGCTAAATAAGGGAAGGGCAGAACTCCAAAATTTTTGTTTGTACTCCTATTTGCAATTCTCTTGTTTTATTTCTGTATTATGATTATTTAGATAAGCATTTTTG